GACTTTTTTTTTTGAGTTGAATATGGGGAGCTTATTTAATCGTTCACAAAATGATTGCATCATGTTTTAATAAATTGCATTTTGAGATGATTCAACAGCGCCTGAACTACTACTTTGTTACAACAGAGCGAATCGTCAAGTTGCAATTTTATGTAATCACCAACGTGCTGTGCCAAAAAGTCATGAAAAAAGCATGGAAAATTTGAAAGCAAAAATAAAGGCAAAGAAAACGGAGCTGAAAGAAGCTAAGGTTAAATTTCTCATGGATTTCATTGTGAATTTACCTCAGAATTTATTTTTTAATAAATTTTATTATTCTGTTCTTGGTTATTCATTTTTAGGAAGAGCTAGAAAAGGCACATTCTGATACAGCTAAACAACGTGCATCCAAACGTGTCGATCGAGTCAAAGAGCAGTTGAGGAAATTGAAAATCCAGCGTACCGATAAGGTAACTTCTCGGATAAACAATTTGCCTACTGAGTCATATAAGGTGGTAATATTGAGCAGACATGAAGGCGTTATATCTGATTTGTTCAAAGATAAATGGGATTTTTCTGAACACGATTGGAATTCTTGCAATTTTAGGATGAAAATAAGCAAATTGCTCTTTCGACATCGAAACTGAATTATTTGGACCCGCGGATATCAGTTGCCTGGTGTAAAAAATATCAAGTACCAATTGAAAAAATTTTCAACAAGACACAGCGTGAAAAATTTCGTTGGGCAATTGATATGGCCGACGAAAATTATGTTTTCTAATTCCATTCCCGTTCTTGCCATTAAGGCTTTATGATTTTTGCCAAAATTATGCGGAAATTTAAATTGTTTCGGGACAAATTTGATCTCAGAGAAGATGTTTTTGATGCAGTTTAATATATATAATATATTTTATAAACAGCTTGCAGCTGTTTTAAAATTTATGGGATATTTAGAGCACAAAAAAATATTTGCATAGGTTATTTGCTGTAGTTTTCCCAGGAAATCGTGAAAATAATTTTGCATCTGATATGAATATTTGTGTGGTTTTCGTTCCTGTTTTTAGAGAAATTCTTTTGTTTATCTGTCGTTGATTTAAATTAATTGAATATTCTAATTTTAAATCCAGCTGACGTTGTTTAATCCATATAATTCTAAACATATAAATTCTGATTTTTTTGTGATAGATTACTGCTGGAGAATTCTTAAATAGAATATTAATTTAATTTTTTAGGAAGAAGTAATGAACTTAGCAATTTTGTTATGAACTTTATTGTGAATTAGTAAAAATTTGGATTTTTTTAAAAAAGAAAACTTCCATTGGTTTTAAATTAAAATCCCATGTCTTTGACCCGAGAATTCGCGTGATATTTGTTCCTGAATAGGTTTTTCATTTGTTTCATGCTGTAATTTTTGTGGAAAGATTCAGAGAATGCTGTGATTTTATTCATATGCATTTGAATTCAGCCACCAATAATTAGTTGTTTACGACAAAATCCAGAATCTTTTGGATTCATTTAAATTTTTTTGTTGAATTTTTTGTTGAACATCTAGAGATTTGTCCAAGGCTAGAGCTAATTTTATTCAAGAGAAACATAAAATTAACGAAGAGCTATCGAGATTATGCGATGAAATTCATTTGATTGTTTAACAAAAACAAAAAGAAAGAGTTTCACATTTTGTTTATTTTTCTTAATATCCTTGTTTTTGTGTTTAGTTTTCTCTCAAGTTTGTCTGTCTGTGGTGTGTTTTATTGTGATTGTTTGCACACTAAAATGTGCTTAATTGGGTTGTTTCCTTTAATTAATTAATGTGTGTCTATTTAATGAACCACGTCAGTTCCATTGTTTGTTTTGTATTCAGCTGGACTACTAGACTTTCCTCATCTTCAGTAAGACTGCCGCATTTCCGTTCCATTTCCAGCTAGCAGGTTAATAGTCTTTCGAAATTAAATTTAAACTTTAATTTGTAGCACCTGTTGTTCTTGTAGTGAAATATTTGTGTATTTTTTACTAAATTTACTGTTTCTATCGATTCCTACATCTATTTCACGGATTATTTAATTTATGTCTTTACATATTCTGTTGTATTCTTTTTATATTTTGTAGTTTATTTCACTATCTTTGATATCAATAAAGTTCCAAGTGAAAACGATGTTAGCGTTTTTGTCCAATTTCACTGTTTGATTTTCTTCATCCGAAATTTACTGTTTGTCTCCGCAACAATTCTTTTATCGCTGAAGTGGAATTCCATTGGGCTGATAGATGAACTAGCCAATTTTTTTTATAATTTACTGGATATTAATTACTATTCGAATATTTCGGTAATAAATTTTCTGGTCATTGCGATTATCAGTCAGGAGAAGAAGTAAAAATCAATGATGGAAAGTATTATAACGATATATTGTAAATAATAATTCAATATGGTAGTGACAGGAGTAAGTTGTCGAATTGGATCCAGAATACGGTCTTCATAATCGGTATTCCGCATATCAATACCGGATAATGGTAAGGTACCACGGCGAAGAAAATATGGAAGTTTGGTGGCAGTTTTAGATATAACAAATTCATTATTTGTTGTCAAGAAATTGAAATCTTCGGTGTCATTGATAAATATATCTCTCTTCCTCTTTTTATTACTATAAAATTTCTTCAGCATTTTGTATTTTCCATATTTATTGCACTGCCAATGAAAGCATAAATGATTTGGTGGATTTCTCTTGACGCAGTATTTTATCAGTTTACTGCAACTACTGATAACTTCAATTGATTAACTTTTAAACAAATAGTAATTTTGTGCATTTATTTAACCGAAAGAATTACTAGCTAAGAAGTAAGCCATAAAATTAATTGAGAATTTGTCACATTTAGGATATGCAATATTTATCATCATCTTTCATTGTTTTTCCTATGGTTCTTTTTCAGTTATTTTTTCTTAATTTTAAAAAATTTATTAGCAATGTATTAAATTTTCAATTAATAAAAAAACAAAAAAAAAGTCAATTTTTTTTTGCACCAGAAAAGGCATAGGGTATAAAAATTTGATAAAATAAAGTATGGAAATGACTTTGAAATAGCAACTGAGGAAAGTTTACTTGAAACAAGAAGTATTATTGAAATTAGAAGCATTGTTATAAGCGCAACCATATAAGAATAAATATTGAATTTTTTGGAATTCTACCATTTTCTTCTGAAACGAATTATTATATTAATTCAGAAACTTGGAAAATATTTGGTGCTAATTAACAAGGATTTAGCTTAGAGAATTACTTTTTTCAATTAACAGGAATATATCAAATTAAACATAAGTATGAGGAAATCTTTGAATTATTTTAACAAACTGAAATTGAAATTATCTGATCTAGTATGGTAGAGAATAGCAATCAGTTATCCTATACATATTTTACATTTAATTTTTGCAAAAATGCTACTGTTTTTCCTCATTTATCAATGGACTAACTAAATTTAATTAAGTAATTTAATTTATTTAAACAAAACACACCGTATTGGAATAATTCATATTGTATTTGCTGTTGCAATGTTGAAGAATATGAATAAGGCTTTTATTGAAAAAGTTTGAGTCTTCTCTTTTGACTATCTAAAATTTTTAAATTTCATTACTTACAAAGAGTTTTACGTCATACACACACTGTTTCTCTTTGTTATATGTAGCAAACACGCATTAATCAAATATCTTAAAAGTATCGGTCTATTTTATAACAAAGTTGAACTGATAACAAATATTTTCATAAATATCATTTTCAGGTCTATTTTTCAAATAAATACTTTTCTATAAGGCATCATAATATTATATATGCAGTTCATCTACCTATAACTGCAGTACATTTTAATTTCGCTTATTTGACAGTTAATCATTTTTTAACAAATTTAATGTATAGAATGAAAGATGATTTGCATAAAATTTCCTTATAAAATCGATATCACAAATAAATTTAAAGATGATTAATTAATTGTCAAATAAAAAACAATTCGAAATGTGCTACTACAATAATAACATAATATAACAATGTTTCACTAGAAAAAATGTTCTTTTAAAAAACAAGCCTGAAAACGGTATTCAACGTAATTTAATTACAATATCATTGCAGAAAACAATAATAGTTTTAAAAGAGAAATAAAATTTACTTTGTTAGCTAAACATGGAATAATTACATATATATAATGAAGCAAAATTCATCAATTATCCTTGAATTTATACGCTTAACATCTAATAAGATATTAGCTGTTTGTGCACATTCTGCTAACCTATCGTAGCACCGTTTACCGTTAAACTTAAGAGCTGAAAAAATTGGTGAAATAAGCAATGGAAAAAATGTTAGCAAAATAATTAGCATCAATTTGTTAGCAGACTGATGCTAAACCTTCTTCTCAAAACTTAAAATAATTGCAACTAATACCTTTATAGCATTTTCTTACAATTTTCGACATTTGCATAAAAATTCGTTTTCTAAAAAAGAATTAAAAGTTTTGTTTTTTGTTTATTTAAATGTACAAACATGTGAAATGGAAAAATTGTTTTGAATTTACAAATTTTTTTGAATTTACAAAAAAGCTAATTACAAATTTATACAACATATTGTCAATTAGTAAATTCATTTCATTTCAGTATTAAAAATTCCCTCATTGTACAAAATTTTTTTTAGGAAAAAGTTTCAGTGATACGATATTGGGACACATACAAAACATAAAATGGAAGGCAATGGAATCTGTTTTCATTAATGATTGAAATTACTGGGATTACTTACCTGTGATATAAATAAATGCTTCACAATCCCTTCTTTTATCATTTTTAATTTGAGTTTTAAAGAAGTTGTTAAGTTTTTTAGTACGTAGAATAATCTAAGCTAATGATAGCTATGATATGACTGATATCATCGCTATACTTATGACAAGCTCTTATTATTCTTATCACATCGTTGTGAATTGGTCGAATTTATTTATAAGCTGTTTATAATGATTTATTTAACAAAGAGACTGATATTCAGTTCATTGATTCAATTCATTCAATTCAAAATGAAATATTTTGTGATCGATACAAATGCAATGAAATAAACGGCAAATTTCTGTTTCATTATTTGACTGTTTCCGTTTGGAGTGACAGAATTGTTTGTAATCTGAACTCTGCTACTCTTCCATTTCCCAGTTTTATGATCACCATCATAACTGTTTTCTTAAAATTTAGAGAGTAATTAATTTCATTGTACCGATTAGTAACTAGTATCAAACTTATCTATTTGTAATGAAAATGCCATTTCGAATTGAACTTTGTCAACTTCTTTCTTACTGGCTTCATTGTAATCTTCATCGTCTTTATCTTCTTCGTCCTCTTTTGGAAGTATTAAATTGGATCGTTTAAGCGTCAGAAAATCTTGACTTTTACAAGGCCAGTAGTAACATTTACGAGTTGTTGGAATTTTTTCTACACAATTTTGAACCAGTTTACTAGAAATTTACAAATATTTAAATAAATATCGCAATTTCATGTATGTGATTAATTCAGAATTTCCAAATCTTTTTGTATAATTTTACGTGAAATTTGCTCTCTTAATGCTAATTTTATAAAAACTGCTTAAAGTTGCTTGAAAAAAAAAAAAGACGAGAACTGAAGATATAAACGTTTTACATAAAGCAATTGCTTTGCGACATATCTGCCATACTATTATAAATGCAGCTGTATAGGTATAAACGTAGAATTTTAACTGTGTTCATCATAATTCCCTAAAAATGCTCCCACGTAACAATTTCGAAATACCAATATATCATATTAAAATTTCATTTCAATCTCATACCGAATCATTTTGTCTCGACAGATCATTTTCTATGCATTTCCGGAAAAGATACCTTTCACGATAGGTAACACCCGGCTTCTCATTCATCTGGAAAAATGAGTGACACAATAATGTCAGAACTAAGTTACGTATCATATCTACCATATTATAATCTTGTTTCTCTTTCCCTCCTTTCTAACTGTGTTCATCATAATTCTCTACAAATGCTCCCACGTAACAATTTCGAAATACCAATATATCTTATTAAAATTTCATTTCAATTTCATACCGATTTCTTTAAATAGCACAAATATCTTAGAACAGTTTTACTTGTGGATATCTAAACAAAAAATAAAAGAAACAGACCAATTGATTAGCTATTATTATCATCACTAGGCGAGAACTATCGTTGATCATGAAATTAAAGTACAAAATAATTTTCTAAATTCAACAGAAATTAATAGCTGAATGGAAAAGAATTTGTATAACTTACTCTTTTTGCTAAACATGGAATAATTAATTGTGTATAGGTTTCACAAAAATGATTGATATTACTAGAATTAATCATATTGATATCGAGCAAATTACTATTACCACTGATGCATTGTTTTAATACATCGTAGCATTGCCATTCTTGTGCATGAATATCATTAATAAATAAAATGTCAAGTAAAAATGTTAAAAGAAAAGGTAACATAGCAAATGTTTAAAACAATAGGAAATGATTAATCTGAAATGAATCAACCGCTTATATACACATGTAATTAAAATATGTATTGATTATCACCAAAAGATAGATCATTATCAGAGTAACTCTCTTAATTATTTTTAATTATTCATCCTTTCTCTTTTCTTAAAAAAATAAGAAACAAAAGTGAGAAATAAGCAAAATTCAAAAAAAAAAAAAATCATTTATTCATCATAAAGGACGTCAGTGGTAGTAGATGGGTACAAAATTTTTAATGCACAATAACACAAGGTGATCAACAATATGAAAGAGAAATGTTCAATTATTTGCATCCATGAAGAGTAAAAAAAAAAAAAAAAAAAAAGAGAAGAAAAACACAATTAATAAGACAATTATAATTCAAATTTAGGATGAGTCTTCTTTTTCATAGAACTTCCAACCTATGAAACTATTTCATGGAATGAATACTTCACAACTTTACAACATTTAGTAAAATTAAAGTAATGCGGAGATACCTAAACTGAAGTCCTTCACATAAGTGCATATAATAAGTTTGAAACTTCAATATCATATAACAGAGCCAAATTAATAACTGAAGTATCAAACAATTCAATACGCTTTTAACATGCGTGCTTTAATATTTAATGTAATGAATGAGACAAGCAAATTCTGAAAAGTATGAAAAAAAAACAGCCAAGGACAGCAAATGCTTTGAATGCCTACATAATAAAATTTTTTGATATTTTAAATGAAGAAGAGATGGTAATTCAATCAGAATCTAGAAAATCTGGAAAAATGAAAGCATTCGATTACATAAGGCAACAAAGTTTTGATTTCTTAGCCAGTCAATACGTTTAAGCAAAAATTTAGTACTAAGAATATGGTGAGATATAAAATGCAAAATGCACAGTACATATCTTAGAAGAAAAAAAAAAATAACAGGACACGATAAACACGATGTATTTGAACTTAAGAAAAAAATAGGAAAAGTTCAACTTCTATTTGTTAATCTCTTCAATTTCTACACCACTTAGTAATATGGCATCGGCAATCTCTACTATGCTTTTACTATTTGATATGATATTATTTTTGACCTTTACATAAACTATGTACCAAAACTGGTTATAAAGGTTATTTGCTGCTAAATGCAAAAAAAAAAAAAAAAAAAAAATAGAACAAGGAAGAGACATGAACATTATATACACCACTGTTATTTCTTCCTCAGATTTCAATTTATATTTAGATTTGCAAGATTTTAGTTCTACTTCAGTCGAATTTAACAATATGTTAGTAACAACGAAAAATCTCAACAACAAGGTTTTATGTGAATCAGAAAAAGTGGTTCACATTTTAATGATTCCTAGAGAAAATTTTTGAAAAAAAAAAAAATAATATATAAAAACAATAAGGCGCAGTTTCACGTCCTTATATGATAAAGCATCGGAGTTTTTAAGTTTTTAGGTGATTTCTAAAGTAAAAAAAATTATCTGTATTGAAAAGGGCGCTGAAAAGAAAGGAAATGATTGTAAAACTGTTATAAGAAAATCAACTTGTTGACGGTCAAAATTATTTTTAGTAATTCAACACTATGGTAAAATGGATCATAACAAATTAATAAAGCGTAACCATTCATGGAGTGCTGCTATATGTTGGGATTAACATATATCCATTTAATAAAACACACCGAGAACTGAGATCGTCATCGACCAGCTTGCTGAGGAATTTCTGAGAAATTACTGGAAAGTTGAAGATAGCACTCATATAACAACCAATTCAACAATACACAATCATTCATGTAGTTGCACTGAATTCATGTTGAAGCGCTTGCAAATCATCAATCATTGTGTCCAGATTTTCCATTTGCGCATTCAGTTCCTCTGTGGAAGCCGAAGCCTGAAACATGAAAACACTTTAAAGGAAGAGAAAAATGTGGTTATTGTGAAATTAATCATCCTAGAATTTCATTAATCGGTGAAACATCTCTTGGATGCAATGTTTACAAGCACATCAGACCATGAAATTAAAACCTCAGTGTTTGGTGAAAATAAGCAAAAGAAGAACCTGTAATGGTTGCGCTTCAATAACATTTTCACGTTGCAATGCAGCTTTCTCCGGCATCACACAAGATGCATATGGTGAGTAAATATTATTGACGTTAACACGCGGTTGTGCAGTTGCACGTCCCACAGGAACATGAGATGACTTCTGACCAATAACAACACCAGCAGGCTTTCCGTTCCTATTATTTGGAGATGCAACAACTAGCGGTCTAACTACATGCGCCATTCGCTCACCTGATCCTAGAAATATTCATTAATAGATAGTGCTTCTGATGCTCAATGTGAAATATGGAACAGACATTAAGTAGTAAACAGTTAAAACTTAAACAAAATATACTATACTATTAAAAGAAACACGAATAATTAATGATCAGTTTTTTTTCTTCAAACAAAAGTTAACATGCCTGATGAGGGAGTGATTGGTGGTGGTGCTCCAGCAAGTTGTGTAAATGATTTTAACGGATTTGAATTGACAGAATTTCTGCGCAACGTCCGATAACCATCGTTGTTGAGCAATTGAGTGGGTGGAGCAACGGGCGGTCCTTGATTAGGTAATTGGGGCGGAGGTGGGGTCGATATGTGAAGTGCCTGAGATGAACTGTACGTCGAGCTATGGTCAGAAAAATCGATTTTAGCTACCTGGAGAAAATCAACATTCGACAATTTTTAACTCCTTTGATTTAAATTAATGTTTGAGTCCTTACTAAATAATACTACACCGTATAAACCGACTTTGTATATTAAACATTTCTTTTGTTTTTAATTAACCTCAAATATGTTTTTAATTAACTTCAAATATGTGACTTCAAATGTGCGTTAATATAAATATAACTTCAAATTTTTAAATATGTACAAACTTCATTAAGTATTCAATTCTTCGACATTTTTTTAGATGATTTTCCTTTCAAAAATAATCGTTGTTACTTACTCCTTTTATTCAAAATATCTCCCAAAAGTGTTTACATTTTCCCTAAACATAAACTAAAGAAACACCTGATGTCGGCCTGTATTTGTATAAACAATTTGAGGCGTTCTTTGTCGTCCTTCAAGGCTAGTCGATGATTGATGATAACTCCGTGTTAAAGTACCATTACCTGAATTTATGTTTGTTGAGGTATTAGGAAGAAATGCGAAATTTTTAAGGTGGAGATATGAAATATCAAAATTTATTTTTTTCATGAAAATGTGCGGTGTATTGACGAGAAGTGATTACAAATATGCCTGGAAACAGAATTACTGGCATAATTTCTAACTATTTCTGAATATCTACAGTATCTATATGAAAAAGTAAGAAATAAAACAAATACCGTGCGAATGCGAAACCTCTTTTAAAAAGCTTTCAAACAGCAGGGTAGCATTAAAGAATCTAGCAAATTATCTACAAAACAGGATTTAACAGAAAAATTCCTAAAACTCAATTTTCGTAACTTGCATTCACAATTCAATTTCGTGTCTTGTGCAATCTATGTGAAATTTGTAAGTGTATCATGGCATAATTTAACGGAAAAACTTATTGTGGAGACAAATAAGAGATGAAAGTAATCCATTTTTAAGGATTTGACTTGTGCTACCCACCGCAAAGTAAAAAACTGCAGATAAAGGAGAATTTGATGCAATGAGAATACTTTGAGAGTCTTAACAAGCAATACAACAGCGCTACTACTGATACAGCCACACTTACAATCACCAGTTACAACACCGGGCAGTGGATTCTGTGACATGACGGTATGAGTTGAGATTAGCTCTGCTTTTCCCACAGGCCGTCGTCGTTGAATGATGCCATCATGAACTGACTGAGTCATTCTCGCTTCAATATACTCGGGATCGGTGAAGTGAGCTGAAATTCGCTGACCATCTATTGCATTGTTCATCTTGAAAAGTGCAAATATATCGACGGACGACAAATGCAAGTTGTGGATTGTAGATTATGAGGTACTATGAGGCATGCAACTGCACTGTATATCACATCTAGCAAAAAACATCACCAGCTACATTGAAAAATACCACATTGCCATGCGTTGTTGACATGAAATGCATTTTTGTCTCAAAACATGCTGCAAGTAATTAACATGCATACACCTACAAAACAAATATGAACATAAACTGTAAAAAGTGGCAGAATTAAATCCAAGTTAATCCAAGCTCGTCATTCCAATTATTTTGACAGCGAAGATCTAGAAGCAGCAGAACTATTTAGAAACTAAAATGGAATGGTAAGTTAACAATGATCAAATTAGCATACCATTCATTTACATGTTTTGTAAAAGATATGCATCATGCATTTCACAAATATGTGTGAAGCAAAATAAAGTCAAAATGCACTGCTGTCATATAATTTTTTTTTTTGCCCTTAAAATTTTCCTCAATAATAAACAAACAGTGGAAGCAAAATGAAATTGTCAAAACGAAAAAGATGAACAAAAACACTCAAATATGCAAAAACGAAAGCGAAGCAGCACCTTGGACAGCAAGATATTGAGATCGTGGTGAATCGACCATTTCGATTACATCATCGCAATGATTTAAATCGTTTAATGATGTTGCAAGCGCTTCTTCAATCAGATTCTCTATAATGATGTACATTCCCGTTCTTAATTACGAATATACTGATTTTAAAGCGGTTCAAAATGGATGAATTATGGATTGTAGCCAATCAATTGGTAATTAGAGAGTTGCAAACTTCAAAAATGACATGACCTTGAGACTGGAATAATTGTTGCCATGTATTTTGATAGAAAAGAAAGATTACACACAACAGATACTCATAGTCTATTAGTTCTAATTCAAAGCAAAAGTAAGAAAAAGTGAGTGATTTTATCATGCGACTTGTTCCACTATAATTACGGAATCCAACTTACTATTCGAACGACAAGGTGCAACGTAACAGATAATTTTGACCAAGTTTTATAAATAGAGAAAAGAAAGTATAAATACTATGTGGAAGTACTGTTTAATCTACTGTGAAAATCAAAACGAAACAAAGTTAATTTCCTCTTCATTCTTTTCAAAATATCCTCTTCATTCCTTTCATAATTTACTTTACATATGCCACCTGTCTTAATCTTCCTGCCGAGCTTGCTTACAGCTGGAACAACGAACAAAATAAGCAAGCAGAAAGCAGATAAGAGTAAATAGATAAGCAAGTGCTGATAGCTGAAAAACAAAAGTAAACATATAACACCAATCAAAGTCTTATTTAATTTATATTTCAAAAGATAAATTAATTTGAATTTCGAAAACCACGTAAAAAATACCCGGCTCATGTATTTGGTGTCCACCGCTATGATGATTAATCCATAAATCAGGGGGCCCTTTGCCATTTCTCACTTGTTTCCTTCCACGCACATAGCCTGCGGTCGTTGATTTCTTGCTATTCTTTGATCTTATATACCAAATCACGGTGATCATCAAGACTATGAACAGAATAACGATTGCCGCCATGATTGCCAGATAAGCTGGCGTGGAAAACAACGCTAGACGAGGAGTTTCCAAATCGATGTCAACATTCTGAAAAAAATTTTTAAATATGTAAGCAATGCAATCATTATTAAGAAACACTTCTACAGTTAAAAAATTACTGAAAAAGAAATTCGATAAACAGTAAAATTCTTAAGAACAAAGCTGGTTCACGTGTATTATATTTGTAATTGGGTAACAGAAATAAATTTCCACATTTATTACAACTTTCAAATGATTAATGGTATAAATAAACTAAAAGATTTGAGAAAAAATGATTTTAGGACAAACCTGGAATAATCGTGGTGGTGGTGCACCCGGCACAAATTGCAGTGTTGGAGATAACGGACCATATCCTTTGATATTACGTGCTTGAACTTTAAAGAAATATGTTTGTCGAGGTAGTAAATTGGTCAACTTGATTGATAAATGGTCACCTTTTACCCCATCCAGAATCCAGTCCTTATCAGGTGCATCAGATCGATCTGCATAATACACCAAGTACTCTGAAACAACCAAAAATCTCCAACTCTGAAACAACCAAAAATCTCCAAAATAGGTTTATATTTACTAATAGTAATACAATACAAAATAAAATATAAAATGCCAAACAAATATATTTCAATAATTTCCCAATCTATACCTTCAATATCACCATTAGCATACTTCGGCGGTTGCCAATTCAGTATCAGTGTTTGCTGATCACCATCAGTTGGCTGCATGATGGTTAAATCACGTGGTGCACTAGATGGTGGTGCTGGAGCTGTGGAATTTACTGCAGTCATGGACCACATGGATGAGGACCTTCAAAGAACTCTTTTCAACAAAATCTCCATGATATTTCAAACTTTTCAAGACTGCATTTTGTACCGCAATACGAAGCCTCAGTAATGCTTTTTTACAACATGATTGATGGAAATAGCCGAACTTCCTTCATGATTAGCATGACACATTCATCACTGGCTTCTTTGATGAATGTAACGGATAACCAACTTTCGAACTGAACTAACAGCGCAAAATTATCAGGCAGCACTGAAACCGGCTACGCCATTGCTCACTACATCAACTCAGTTTTGAATTGTCTTAGAGACAACATGGAGATTTTATTAGAACATTTACCAATTATTCTGTTCATTTTAGTCATTTCAGAGACTTCTCAAAGATTTTTTTAATCTAGCCCAGTTCTTCAATATTGATGTTCTCTTCCCATCAAATTCGGTTAAAAGGAATAAAAGGAATTTGCATTGAAGACGGTTCCAATGTAGGATATAATTTAAATTTATAACAACGGCTTTTTCGGGATAAAGCAAGCATTCTTAATTCTTGAAAGAACAAAAAGATTAATGGTATGCAACAGTAGACTGATCGACAAGGTAGATTTTAATTGGTTGATAAAAAGCATTATCTATTAATAATTTCATTAGTAACAGCTAAAATTATAGTATTCATATTATTCCATTCACAAAATACAAGTTTTACTTGTATGTTCAATCGATTTAATTTCGAAAATACTAAAATAATGGTGGCAAAGAGTCAATAAAAAAGGCTTTCAAAGCAATTTTTGTAGACGATTCTGTACTTTGGTGTTTTTTTAACTCTTTGCTATCCAAACCAAACAATGATTCTTGTAGCATAACGAAAGACAGCAGGTAATTAACAAAAATCTTTAGTCTGTATCTTGAAAGCGAAATAACGAAGAATCCATACGAAAATTATTAAAACTATTTTCAAATCCATCTTTCTGATTAAAATATTGCAAAAATCTTACTTTCCAGCATTAACTCGTACCGCAAATTCGTACTGCGTATTGGGACGTAATCCATCGATAACTACTTCAAGTTCAGATGTATTGATATAACGCCGCTGCCCACCATTCTCAACACTGAATTAAAAACTATTAATATTAGACAAAGTGTAAGACAAATTCTACTTTAACAAGTACTATTTTAAGACTTATGTAATTATTAGTTTTCGTTGATTGTACGGTATTGTACGACTTTAAATCTACTCCGTATTTGTTAATACATGGAGTGACAAACAATCCGGTTTAAACCTCACATATGTATCTGAAATGGCTAAGTAAGCTGAAAAAAGAATCCGTCTTAAAAATGGTCCGAAAAATTCGTTATTAAAGAAATCCACACCTGGAACTGTATCGTACAGTGTATTGCCTTGAATAAGGTATATTCAATTCAGCATCAGTCCACATTACTCGGATCGATGATGACGAAAGTGTCAATGCTCTAACACCAATCGGTGTTTCACTTCGTCCCGAATCTTTGTTATTCTGTTGTCCACTTGCCATAGATTTAGATTCCGGAGAAAGAGTTCGAACTGTTTCATAGATTGGAAAACCATTCCCTATCATATTGTACGCACGCAGTGAAATCACGTAATCACGGCCTGGTTTCAACCCATTAATCGTATGGAGCCGTAAACTTGCTGGCACCTTCACTTGGTCCACATCCGGTATATTGATTCCCCAACCAATCTGCAGAAATTTGTAATTTTTGAATTATTGAGCTTACAGAATTCATTCAAATTGTATCTGCACGAGCTGTAATCCTATGAAATACGTATGGACTTGAAAAATATTTCTCACTCCTCAATTTTCTATACTTTGTGGCATTGTTCGTTAGAGCAAATAATGGTACAAAACCAATTCCTGTTGAAATGTAACATTTACCAAGAAAAAAAAGACTTACTAGGTAACCACGGATCATAACACTATCGTCTCTGGGTGGCAGCCATGAAAGCTGAATTGAATCCACAGATGGCTGAACTTTAAGCGAGAGTGGTGGTCCAGCCACTTGTCCTTCGTCTTTATCTTCCAGCGGTGTATCAACATGAACCCAATCCGAATTTGGACCAGATCCATTCTGAAATACAACAAATAAATCTTAGTAGCCAACATTTTGAAAACAGTAGGAAAAGTTGTGCATCATGATACTCCTGTTTTTGTCATCAGATAATTTCAGTTACAAACTTCAACGAAAAACCTGATTAATAGCCGCAACTCGAAGCATATATTGTGTACCAGGCTCGAGACCGGATATAGTGTATGAACTGTTGTTTCCATCTATCACTAAAGTATTGCTTTTTGCACCACGCAATTTCGTTTTATACTTTATTCGATATCCAGTCAGAATACCATTTCTATCTTCTGCTGATAATGGCACCCACTGTACAAGGATGGAGGTAGTTGAAATTGCTTCGGCTCTACAAGATAAACTGTGAGTAATCTAATACATTTATGATTTTTATGAATAGCGGTGGATAATTAAATACCAAAAATAGAACTATACAGATGCACTATCGCGAATCAAAACTAGGTAATACTTTGAAGATAGCAAATTAACATACCTAACGTCGCTAGGAGGTAGTGACGGTAAATCGGACAATGTTCTTACAGTAATTGGTTCAGAGCTGAGACCAGCACCATTTACACCTTCTGCTTCGACTCGAATGATATATTCGACATATTTCTCCATGCCATGAAGAGTATAAGACGTCTTTTTCATCTGAAATCATAATTCTATACTAAATTCTTTTTCAATATCGAAAATAATGAATGGTCAGTCTACATGTTGTTAGTAGCTATATGAAAATCCAGTCTTTTGAAAAAAAAAAAAAAAAGCTGACAAACCACAATTTGTGTTTCCTTTTCATTCACTTCATGATCTTTCCGGATATAGAACAACTTGTACTGCACTGGCTCGGGTCCATTGCCGCCTGGTGGTTCCCAGGACACTTCGACAGTTTCCGGACTCAGAGCTGTGCCACGCAAATTTTTTACTTTACCAGGAACTGCCTAAAAATTTTCAATCTTCTTATCTCGTTTGAAAACTTATAACACATTGTATTCGAATGACTTTCCCGAACATAAAAACATCCTAAGCTGTTACTAAATCTATAAATCCATAATGCATCGTAAAAACCGATGACACTAAGCAAGACACTTGTTTCTCTTAGCCAAAATTAGTGACCATAAAATAAGAAACCTTTTCCTCTGCTGTCGTAATAAGAATACGTGTACTTGATTTCCCCATACCAGCTTCATTTTCCGCAGCTAACCGAAAAACGTAGGTCGTATTCGGCTGCAAAGGAGTTACCGTGAATGATGCCGCTGTTGAATTCAACATTCGCTCCCTAAATTTTATCCATTTTCACATTCTGCGAAACATTGAAATACACAAATAAGATTCTGTAAAAACATTACTGTTACAATTTAGCGCGAAACAGTAGCAACCGAATAATCCAATTTCTGCAGCTAAAAATAAAAGATATGTAACAATTACCGTTAACTTTTCCACTTCATACCACAAAACAAAACCAATGAATAAAAACAAGTAGTAACCTTAAAGAATCTTGTTCCTTGTAGAAAATATGATAAGCTAAAACAGCACCATGCCGTTGTACAGGAGGATCCCAAGTCAGGACTACAAAACGACTTCCAACAACACTTGCACGAACACCTAGCGGTTCTGATGGCAATTTTGGCTGTCCACTTGAAGCAGCCATAGAAAATGAATCTAAATTAGGTTTGTCAAAACAAGAATGAATTTCACATGTAAAACTGTTACAAATGAGTCTGACAGAATGAAGGGTTATGAAGAATTTCAGGCATAAATGGCTAAATTTCAACATAATTCTTAAATTACATTTAATTGTCGTAGTGAATCCTAGCTCTTACACTAAACAAAGTATTAGGTAAACATGAACAACTTTCGGCCTTATTGTGGTTAAGTGTATTAGTCGTGCATGGATAAAAATTAAAGCAATTAAGAAGTTAACAAACGATCGACGATTACTGGATAAATCCAAAAAAAAATATTTATGCTTAAATTTGAAAAAAAAATAAGTAAAACCTCATGAAAATTTGGAACTAGTCACCCTAGAACATTTTTTGAAAATCATTTTAAAACGAAGAATAGTAAAAAGTAATAAATTCATTAAAAGGAACTATATATACACTCATGCACACTCCTCTCACCCGTGTTATTAACATTCATAATTTCTTCCGAAATAGATGTCGTTTCATTCATTGAGTAAAACTTTAGGGCATAAAGCTGCAGTAGTTCCTCTATAAAGTAATATTGTTATTGCTAAAATTCTGAGGAAAAATAAAACCGGACCCAGAAAAACGGATTAAAACTATGTTAAAAAACTTGAAAGATCGAAATATTGAAAACTGAAGACTGTATATACAGTCGAAAGTCACCACATGCACAAATTTTTGAAAGTTAATATAAATTTTAATTCGAAAAAAAAAAATTTGTTCCATTTAAATTTTGAAAAGGAAAATTTTTTAGTATGTCTACGAATTAGACATGTGTAGAATAAACAGTATTTATATATAGTCTGCAATTTAAAAGAAAGGATAACTGAGAACTCCAACTACGGCGTAAATACAGCCATGCACCACTATGATTTAAAAAAATAAGCAAAACACATTAAAGATTACCGGAGCTATCAACAATTAACTGCGCATTTGACTGTACAGATCCAGCATCATTTTCAGCGATACACTGATATACGCCTTGATCATTTCGTACTAATCCGAGAACCCGTAAACGGGTTGCTTCTATCTGAAGAAAAAAAATTTAAGAAAACTATTGAAATTGATTTAGAACAAGGGACGTTGTTTCACTCTAGGTTTATTTTCCCGATTTTATATAAAAACATAATATCAGTAATCTACCATTATCGAAGAAACTAAAGCTTTCGAATTCAAGGAATTTTTATTACTTTATTTTAAAAAAGGCGATATTAATACAAATCTTAAACTATCAAATAATATTACATGCTTCATACAGAGAAAAACCAAAGAAAATAAAAGAAACTAAATCAATTTTTACCACAAAATATTCACTCGCGATAATTGCTTCGCCATTTTTATACCAACTGATGGATGGGCCGGGTTCTCCCGATGCTTCGCAGTTGAACTAGTAATAAATTTATTTTATTTTTTATTTTCATTAAATTAGCATTATCAATTTACAATTTTGTCAGCAACTTTTAAACTTAACTATCACTCCCTAAAGAGTTTAAATTTTTCAGAAAAGACAAAAAAGGAACCTCGACATCCATTGTTTCTTGCGCCACAACGTTGTTTGGTTCAGATATGATTTT